CACATAACAAAGAGTTATTGGGGCTGGGGATGTGGCTCAAGCGGTAGCGTGCTCGCCTGGCATGTGTGTGGCCCGGGTTCGATCCTCAGCACCACATACAAACAAAATGTTGTGTCCGCCGAAAACAAAAATAAATATTGAAAAATTCTCTCTCTCTCTCTCTTAAAAAAAAAGAGTTATTAAACTTGTTAATTAATGAGGAAACCAGTAAGATCTTACAACCCGTTGAAATAAACCACACACACACAAACACACACACACATATAGGCAAGCAGGAATTCTGAAATCAATTTACAAATAGATCAGATTCTGTCCATATCTACAGGATGATAACCAATAGCATTCCACTGTGCAAAACGCACTTGTGTTCACTTGACAAGAATCACTTTGTCCATGTTAGAGCTTTGCAGAATAGCTCAAGGATGGAATTGGATTCCTGGAGTAGTGTGTTAGGAAGGACACTTGCTCTCTGCTTTTTTGTCCATTTCTGTGTCTTTCACGCTTTCCCAGGAACTCCAATATACAGTCAAGGGTGAGGACCCCGCCGTATACCTTCCTGTTTAGCTCTTTGGTCATAGTCATCATGCTAGGTTCAGGTTAATGTTGTAGCTATTTGGTTTATGAGTTGTCCCACCTTGATAGAGAATTCTTCAGGTACAGGGTTCACATTCCATTTAATTGTGTACCAAGCACACCACCTGGCCTACGATAAATGCTTAAAAACTGTCATACAAGAATTGAATTGAATTGAATGATCACTAGGAACTAAGTAGGACAAGCTGTATTATTCTCCACTTTCTGATGAAGAAACTGGTTCTGAAAAGCTCTGATCAGTTCATACAATTAGATTGTGAAATTAAGTCTTGAAGCCATTCATCCATTTCCCCATTCAAACTTAATCCATTCCCTAGTTCATGTGTGCCTGCTAAGGGCCAGTCCTGGAGCCCCGTGAGCAAAAGTAACGTCGAGGAGGGGAGGGAAGAATAGAAGTTCACTGGATTAGACAGAGGGGAATGAAGGGAAGGGAGGGGGAAAGGGTATAGGAAAGACAGTAGAATGAATCGGACAGAACTGTCCTGTGTTCATATATGAATACCGGACCAGTGTGACTCCACATCATGTACAACCACAGGAATGGAATCCTAGCCCTGCGCAGTGGCTCATGCCTGTAATTCTAGCTCCTTGGGAGGCTGAGGCAGGAGGATCACAAGTTCAAAGCCAGCCTCAGCAAAAGCAAGGTGCTAAGCAACTCGGTGAGACCTTGTCTCTAAGTAAAATAATAGGGCTGGGGATGTGGCTCAGTGGTCGAGTGCCCCGAGTTCAATCCCTGGTACCTTCGCGCCCCCCCACAAAAAAAAGAATGGGATCCTAATTAGAACAAATTATACTCCATGTTGTATAATATGTCAAAATTCATATATATTTAAAAAGAACACAGCTGGGCATGGTGGCGCATGCCTATAATCCCAGTGGGTCAGGAGGCTGAGATAGGAGAATCACGAGTTCAAAGCCAGTCTCGGCAAAAGCAAGGTGCTAACCAACTCAGTGAGACCTGTCTCTAAATAAAACACAAGGGCAGGGATGTGGCTCAGTGGTTGAATGCCCCTGAGTTCAATCCCCAGTACCAAACAACAACAATAAAAAGAAGTAGCAGCCAACCCTTGCCCTCCCACCATATATCTGGTACCACCTGACCTTGAGGGTGTAGGCTTGAGCCTGGCTTGTGCCTTGAGGTCAGCAATTCTTAGCCTTATGACCCTGACAAGTCACTTAACTTTTCTGTCTTACCTTTGCTCATCACAAAGATGGGGGAGCCTCCCACCTGAAGCGGAGCATTGTATGTGTGAGTAAACATTGACTTTTGTCACCCAGAAGCAAGCGGTGACTCTGGATTAGATACAGTGTTGGGTCATGGGCTGCAAAGATGATGAGAACTTGGATTCTACTGCTGCCTGAGCAGCTCACAGACTGGTTGGGTATAAAGAGCCTCCGCAGGTCATCATCAGGCAGTGTGGAGTGCAGAGTGAGAGATTCTCAGAGAAACGCTGGCGGCTTGGGGCTGGGAGCAGGACTTTCAGGGAGCCAAGGCCAGAGCATCAGGAACTGGCCTGTGTGGGGGACCCAAGAGGCAGAGAGGCCGGGACAGGAGAGAGATGCCTCAGATGGCGTTGACTGGAATGAGAGGTGGGTTCAGCGAGGACTGAGGGACAGGAAGGCTTCTCTGCTGACCCCACACTGCCTTGAGTGGGAGGTTCCTTTTATGAGTATCTAACTTAATCCAGGGCAGAAGGGGACACTCAGGGGAAGTTCCAGCTGCCCATGGCCACCCTGCCTGCAAGGATCCCGGGTACTGGCATTTTTCTGGACTGGAAAGCCCCCAAGAAGGGAGACAGATACTCAGGATTATTTGTTTACTGTGACAATTCTTTCCCAGTTCCAAAAGGGAAAAAAAAAACATGCTAATGTATTTAGAAAGATTAACAATCTTTTTAAAATATTTTATCTTGTACCTGCATGTTGCCTTCATTTTGAGACTCCAGGGATATTATAATGGCTAAGGCCCCTGCATTCCTAGAGCATAAAACACAGTGGCATTTGATGTTTTTTCAATTGTGAGAAAAACATACTGTAAACTTTGACATCATAACCCTTTAAGGTGTACAGTTCAGTGGTGGTAAGTATATTCAGTGTTGTGAAGTCGGGTCTCTGGGCCTTTCTCATCCTACAAGACTGAAACTCCATACCCATCAAACACAGGTCCTTAACCTCCCACCAGGCCCCTAGGAGCACCATTCTACTCTTTTTCTATGGACTTGGCTACTTAAGAGACCTCGTATAAGTGGACTCATACCATATTTGTCCTTTGTCACTGTTTTCTTTCACTTAGAATAATGTCCTCAAGGGGCTGGGGCTGTGGCTCAGTGGTAAGAGCGCTCGCCTGGCATGTGTGAGGCACTGGGTTTGATTCTCAACACCGTATATAAATAAATGAATAAAATAAAGGTCCAGCAACATCTAAAAATAATTAAAATAAAAAAAGAATAATGTCCTCAAGTTTTATCCATGTTGTATGTGACAGGATTTTCTCCCTCTTAGGTTTAATACTCCATTGAAAGTACAGTGGTTTTATACTTTGCCTTTTAACCTCATACTCATATTTGTTTTTGAAAACAAAGCTTGCCTAAAAAGTCCAGAGTGTCATAAGCCAGGGATGGTAGCGCACGCCTGTAATCCCAGTGGCTCAGGAGGCTGAGGCAGGAGGATTGCAAGTTCAAAAGCAGCCTCAGCAACTTAGTGAGGCCCTAAGCAACCCAGTGAGACCCTGCCTCTAAATCAAATATAAAAAAAGGCTGGGGGTATGGCTCAGTGGTTAAGCACCTCTAGGTTTAATCCCTTGTATCAAAACCCAAAAACCAAAAAAACTCCAGTGTGTTGAACAGAACGCTACTTTGATGGAATTGTGGGCCTAGAATCATGCCCATTGCCCTGCTCCATAGCATGGGAAGCCTCAAGGAACAGAGAATCCAGTGGACCACAGTCTAGTCCAGCAGTTCTCCAAGTGGGTCCACAGACCAGCGGCAGCAGCATCACCTGGGGACTTTGTAAAATGCAGACTCTCAGGCCCCGCTCCAGACCTGCTAAATGGGAACCTGTGGGACTGAAGTCCATGATCTGTATTTCACAAGTCCTCAAGGTGTTTCTAATATCCAGAGATGGAGTGTGACTTGCCCAAAGCCGTTTGGGGAATTTAATGGGATTCAATTATTAAGTGTCTGCTGTATGTAAAGTTCTCGAGTGTCTACTCAAGGAAATCAAGAAAATCCAATCTCTGTATAGTAAAAAAATCTATTGCCAAGTAACAAATGACCCCAGAGCATGTGGTTTAAACAAGAGGGTCAGGAATCTGGGTGCTGCTTTGCTGGGTCCTCTGGTTTGGGGTTTCTCACAAAGCTCTGGCCAAGGTATTGACTGGGACCTACCTACCTGATCACATCAAGGTGCAGCCAGACAGGCTTTGCTTCCCAGCTAGGGGGTTGGTGCAGGCTCTTGCTGGTGAGTGGACACCCCAGCTCCCCACTGGCTGTTGGCCTGAGGCCTCCCTCATTTCCTTGCTACCCCCTCTGCAGGGCAGCTCACATCACGACAGCTGGCCTCATCAAAGTGACAGAACTACCGAGGGCACCCAGGATGGAAGTCATAGTCATTTATAATATAAACTCACAGGTGACATCCTATGACTTGTGCAATGGTCCATTCATAGAAGTGTGTCACCACTGGGCTGGAATTGCAGCTCAGAGGTAGAGCGCTTGCCTAGCATGTGCGAGGCCCTGTGATGCTCAGCACCACATAGAAATAAGTAAATAAAATAAAGGCCTGTCAACAACTAAAAATTATTTTAAAAGAAGAAGAAGTGTGTCACCAGGTCATTCCATATATAAGAGAGGGGGTTACCAAAGGCGGGCATCTTTTAGGATATGGCCTCCTGCCAGCTGCTATCTCGCCTGGTGCTTACAATCAGGGCATTACATAAATACACATCTAATGTGAAATCCGTCAGAGATGTCCGGAGGTCATAGGGTGGGTTCAGGTTCATTGGAGACTCAGAGAAGTAAAACTCTGTGGTTGGAGGAATCAGAAAGGTTTCCTGAGGAGGTGGCATTAGCAATGGGCCTTGAGGAATGGGGGACATGCCACTGGCAGAGAAGGGGAGGCCAGGGAAAGGGCCTGGAGGGGGTGAAGTCAGGAGGCAGGAGGAGAAGGGCTTGCTGAGGTGTCCCCAGCCATCCAACTTGCGCAGAGCCTCAGTGGAAAGAGAATGAAGCCCCCTTGAGCTTGGAGCCCCAGTGCGGATGGTTTTGGTTGACAAGTGAAGTGCACACCTTGACTGGGAGGGGACGGGGACAGGAGCCCGCGGAGGCAGGACTGCCGGACCACAGCCCAGGGCTCCCTCCTGACCCACCAGCCGGGCTCCTGAGGCCCACGTGCATCTTGTCTTGCAGTTCGGGCGCACCGAAGTCATCGACAACACGCTCAACCCCGACTTTGTGCGCAAGTTCATCGTGGATTACTTCTTTGAGGAGAAGCAGAACCTCCGTTTTGACCTGTAAGTGGAAAGGGGAGCTCAAGCTGCGGCTGGGAGGAGGACCCAGGGCAGGGGGTAGGGCTGCAGGACCTGACGAGCAGGACCCTTTACCTGGGGAGGTGGGAGGAGCTGTTATATGGGGGGGGGGGGAGTCCAAGATTGGCAGGTTAAAAGTGACAGTTGGCTGAAGTCCATCCCCAGCCTCAACAGGACTGAGAAAGGGGGCGCAGCAGCAAGAACCAAGATACCCCTCCCCCAAAGTGTCTCAGTTGACTAGGGGAGGCATGAGAAGCTGCCTGGTTCCTGGGGGACTGTCCACTCTGGAAAGATCTTGGGGATTCCTCTAGGCTCCTCCTCTGAGTGCCCTTTCTCTCCTGGAAGCTGAGAGGTACCCACACCTCTTGCTCTGTCACAGCATGTTCTGCAGCCCATGGCAGAGAAGTCACCTGGTGACATTTTGGAACGTGCTCAGAAGCTAGGAAGGCCGGCTGGGTGCAGGCTGGATGGTTATGCCTGCCTCCTTCATGGGGGACCAGGCTCCTTCGTGAGTGGGCAGGCTGGGCAGGCCTGGGCAAGGGAAGGTCAAGGCAAGGTCAAAGGCCAGGTCTGGAGCTTCCTTTGCCTGGGAAGCTGGGGAACAGAGAGTGATGGGTGTGGTGGTTCAGCCACCTGTGAGCCAGCGGGGGTGGCAGAGCTCATCTATTTTATGTTTGCAGTTTTTAACGGGGTATAACATACAGCAGAGTGCCCCAGGGTACACTTTACCCCTGGATCAACAGCCGGCACCCATTCCTGCCCTTGCTCCTAGATATAGCCATAGTGTTGGAGGCTGTTGGGTTGGGGGAGGTGCTGATACTGCCCAGGCAGGGGTAGGCAGGATGTCCCCACCTGCTCCACCCTCTCTCTGTGTTCCTTGTAGATATGACGTTGACTCCAAGAGCCCTGATTTGTCCAAACACGTGAGTTCTGCCATAAGGACCCTGAGAGTCCATATTTCTTTTTATTTATTTTTTAGTTGGACACAATACCTTTATTTTGTGTATTTATTTTTATATGGTGCTGAGGATCGAACCCAGGGCCTTGCGCATGCTAGGCGAGCACTCTACCACTGAGCCACAACCCCAGCCCCTCATATTTCTTAAATGCCGTGTCCTGGGTTGTCCTCGGGCTTCCTTCACTGTGACGGTGTGTGTCCAGTGCTGTGTCTTGGTACTTCAGAGCCCCTCACTTCCCTGGGCCAGCCGGTGAGGGTGGTGGCCTAACTGTGACACTGATCTCTTTTGTCTCCTGGATATACAGGACTTCCTGGGCCAGGCCTTCTGCACCCTTGGAGAGATCGTGGGGTCCTCCGGAAGCCGCCTGGAGAAGCCCCTCACGTAAGTGCAGCAGGGGGTACAGCCTTCTGGGGTGCTTATCCAGCCACCGTCCAACTTCCTGCTGCCCTGCTGAGGGCTGGCTGAGGGTGGTGACACAGCCACAGGGGGCATTTGCAGGGTATAAGGAGACCCATGGGCTCTGCTCTCAAAGGGTTTCTAAGCCAGTTATCCTGGAGAGAAACCAAGTGGGGTTATTCAAGTCCCAAAGTCCCAGAAGACACTTCTTATCCATTTTCAGTCCCATTCCTAACATTGCATGGGGGGGGAGGAACCCCAGCACCAGGAGGTAACTTGCCCAAGGCCACAGGAAGTGGGAGAGCTCTCGAATTTGAACCCAGGACTCGACTCTGCTCCCGTAGCGTTTTCCTGGGATTGTTCACCACTCACTGTAGGCTAGAGCCGAAGGCGGTGAGGCCCTTCCCATCCTGCCCTGCCTCTCACGGTGTATTATGGGACTAAAGGTGCTTTAGAGGAAAGCAATTGCCCTGAGCAGGGTCTGAGATGAGGACCCAGGTTTCCCCATAGAACCTGAGAGTGGTTTCAGGGACCTGCCGGGGCTAGCCAGGCAGGACAGTCACCTCTCTTGTCTCTATTTCTGAGGAAGCCCTAGGGGCAAGGCCCAGGCAAGAGCAGCCACCTGTGGACAGGAACTAGTGTCTAGGCCACAGGGCCCACTTGCTTCTGCCAAGTTCCCACCGGACACTGTCCCCTCCCTGTGGTTCATGATGTGTGTGGGTGTGTGTGTGTGGAGTCTCTCTCCTAGTTCCTTATCTGTGACCCCTGATAACTATGTGGTAACTTCAGGGTCCCCAGAAATCTCTGTGTTCTCAGAAAATAATGACAATAGCTATCATATATTGAGGACTGGGGAAAACTCAAGTTTGGGGAGTTCTGAAAATTAAAGTATTTGAGAACCTTTTCAAAAAAAAAAAAAAAAAAAAGGATACAAAATTCACCCTTGCTACCCCCTGCCTTGAACGATAGTATCCTTAACCATTTTTAATTATGATTCTTTGTTCTTTCTCTATCTGAGAAGGAGCTCGGCTATTTCGGTGGGGACCCTGTGCTCAGTCTACCCATCCCTGGGCCTTTGACCTTTACCGCAGTCCCTTCTGCCTACACCCCACCCCCTCCATGACTCTCCTGGCATGGCCTGGTGCCAGTGCCCAGGCGTGAGTATTTCTGTGCCCACTTGTCATCCAGGTCTGTCTCTTGTCTGCTGCCCCCTGACCACAGTTTCTGGGGTGGGCCTGAGGACAATTCTACAGGAGATGGCTTGGGAGCTGAGCCCTAAAGGACACACAGGATGGAAAACAGAGGTTGATGGAGGTGCCGGTGGAGGACGGGGACCTTTCACCCCACTGAAGGCTCTGTGTCTAAGTTTAGTTGTCTCCATGACTAAACCTATTACCAGCTCCTGTTTACTGGGCATCTATTCTGGGCCAGACACAGGGGTCAGTGTTTTGCTTATGAAATCTGTAGAGTCGGCGCTGAGTATCCATGGATTTCACATCTATGGATTCAACCAACTGCAGATGGTTGAATATTCAGGAGAAAAAGTTGTGTCTATACTGAATACGTATAGATTTATTCCTTCCTTCCTTCCTTTCTCGAACCCAGACATATCCTAAGCCCTTTTTATTTTTTTTAAATTTTGGAACAGAGTCTCATTTAGTTGTCCAGGCTGACCTTGAACTTGAGATGCTCCTGCCTTCCCAGTTGCTGGGATTACAGGTGTCACCACCATGCCTGGCTCCGACTACCTCTTGTCATTTTCCCCTAAGCAATATCAGTATAACAACTATTTATATAGCACTTACATTGTGGCAGGTATTGCAAGTAATCGGGAGATGACTTAAAGTGCACGGGTGGATTTGTGCAAGGTGAATGCAAACATTGCACCACTTTACGTGAGGCACTTGAGCAGCCGAGGCTGTTGTTATGCAGGGGGTCCTAGAACGATTCCTTATAGACACTGAGGGACAGGCAACTCTCCTAGTTTATTGCCCTGTTGCGGTAAATGCTATAGACTGAGTGAATTAAATAACAGGAGTTTAGTTTCTCACAGTTCTGAAGCTAGAAGTCCAAGATCAAGAAGGCACAGAGTTGGTTTCTTCAGAAGCCCTGTTCCTTGGCTTGCAGATGGTTGTGTCTTCCTCTTTGTCTTCACATGGTCCCTCCATATCTGTGGCCTCCTCTCTCCTTAAAAGGACATCAGTCTTTTAAGACCCACCATATGACCTCATTTTACCCTAATTGCCCCTTTAAGGGCCCTGTCTCAGTCACATTCTGAGGTGCTGCGGGCTAAAGACTAATATATGAGTTTGTGGAGGACACAGTTCAACAACATGATCTCGGGTGATTCTTTCTCCCCATTTCACAGCCTGGGTACTGAGGTTCATGATGTAGAACAGCGATTCCCAGGCTGCAGCAGGCGTCAGGGTCTCCTGGGGCACAGGTTGTGGGCTCTGTCCCCCCCCACCCCGGAGTTTCTGACCGGCAGGTCTGGGTGGGTTATTTATGTCTGTGGGTTATTCCCAGGGGATGCTGGTGCTGCTCCTTCTGGGGCCACTTGAAGACTAACTCGTCCCGGCTTCACACCAGAGTTTGAGAACACCTCTCTTTCCCTGGTCTGTGGCTTTTGGTCCTGTTTTAATAACCTCCAGGACAGGAAATCGTCTCTAAGCATCCCAACGTCAAGTGTTCTGGCCTCTCCGGAGCAGGACACTAGGCTCATGGCTGGTGCTCTCTCCCTGTCTCCACAGGATAGGAGCCTTCAGCCTGAACTCCAGGACGGGCAAACCCATGCCAGCTGTGTCGAACGGGTAGGTCACCAGACATCTCTGGCCCTGGGGTCCTCTGACATTCAGCCCGCTGCAGAGAACATCTGAGTCGGGCCTCAGTTCTAGATCCCACTACTGTGAATTCAGCCCTGGTGAGAGACAGAGGGTCCTGGGTCCCTCTGCAGGGTCCCACATGGAGATCCCCACGCTGTAGCCAGCCCCTCCCCCATCCAGGCCAGAGCTGGAGCATCCAGAACCCCAGTGGCTCTTGGGACTTCAGGGGCAGGTTGGAGCTCTGGGTTGGGGGCTGTCTCCAGGAATGAGCAGGCCTGGGCACTCTGCATCCCTTCCCCTCTCCCTGGCCTGTGTCCCCCACCGCCCTTCCCCTGCCTTCTCTTTACCCTCTCCCCTTCCCCTGGGTTTGGTTTCCCCTGCTGGATGCCAGCTTCCTCTTCCACCCCCAGAGCAGGCCCAGCCCATCCCCTTTCACATACGCCTGCCACCTAGGATGACCAGCTTCTCCCCCATTCCCTGCCCACCCTGACCATAGCTCTGGGCTGGCTGCCTGCAGATGTGGGTGGGGCAGAGCCCCTGAGCCTCCCCACCCCCAGCCTGGCTTCCTCCTCACACTGGTGGGGGGAGGGTGGGAGCTTTGCTGGGAGGGGCCTTTGGCAGAAGTGCCTTTGGCTGGGAGAGCAGGGCTCCCCCGGCCTTCCTGGCCACCAAAGCGCTGCATGTGGGAAGGGACCTCCAGGGGAGCCAGGGCTGCTCCCAGCCCAGGGAGAGCAGGTGACAGTAACTGCAAAGACAGGGGGAGGGAGAAAGTCCAGAGGGAGGGAGGGGGAGAGGAAGGAAGGCCAGGCCTGTGGGAGCAGGTTGGGGCTGGAGAGGAGGGAAAGAGAGATCAGAAATAGAAGAAGGACTCAGAGGCAAAGAGAGGAACAGATGGAGAAGCACAGGGCGGAGGAGGCTGGTGTGGGACTCTCTCCGCCTGGTCACACGAACCACGTCTTACTACTGTGGAGCACCGGACCAGCAGGCGGGCAGGGCCTGGGCAGTCAGCTCGGGTGCTCAAGTCTCGGGGACAAGCCGGCAGCACTGCACCTGCCTGGAGCAGGGGAGGCAGCAGGTGTGGCCCCTGCTCTGTCCACCCCAAGGGGAAGACCCGGATGGCTGGTCAGCCCCCACCCCCTGGGGCCAGCTCCCTTCCTCCCCTGCCTCCTCTCTTGGGAGCTGTCCTTCCAAAAGCTGGTGCTGGAAAGAGCTCCATCAGTGGTTCTCAAAGTGTGTTCCACAGACAGCGCGCTGGTGGCCCTGGGGCTGGGGGGGGGCAGGGCAGGATTTTACCAGCTTTACACCATCATGAAGCAAAGGATGCAGGGAGGGAAATGATGTCCAGGGAGGTCCTGCTCGGTGCCAGGCTCTGGGTGTACATATAGTAAAATGGATGCTACAATTACACTTATTTGTGGGCAAGGAAAGAGGAAGGAGTCACACAACTGCTCACAGCCTGACCTTTTCACCTCTCCCTCCCATTAGCCCCTGACTGCACCAGGATATGCCTCCTCCCAGTATCAAGCATCAGAGTGGGATGGGCTGGTGCCTGGGGGAAGGGGCCCACCTGATAAGGGGCCCCCTGGGTGGAGCCGCTCCCTGGGATTTGCCCTCCTGGAAGGGACTCTCCACTGTGGCTGTTGTCCCTGCTGCCCAGCTCAGTGAGGAGCTGCATGGATGGCTGGAATCTCTCAACCCCAGGAGACTCCAGCCAAGAATTCCAGGGTACGCAGCCATGGGAGAGATCCACTAACACGACCCAGCCCTCCTGCCTTGCCCCCTCTTGCTGCTCTCCCTCCCATGACAAATCAGAGTGGCTCAGAGCTTGAACATTCTGGGACCCTGGGGTCAGCCGGGTGCAGGGTGGGGTGGTTAGCCCACCAGGTCTTTTGCCCACAGAAGTGGTCTTTGGATGGAAAGTTTGAGAAACACTGGTCTGGAAGCCTCTGGGTGAGTCTGGATGCTTTGGGGATCCTAGGACCGTGTGGCAGACACCAGCCTCCCTGGTGGGCTCTGGGAGCAGGGGGTGGGCAGCTCTGGAACTGAGGGCCTGGCCCCAGGAGGATGCACCAGGCCACGCTGCCACATGCATTTCAGGAGACGCTGTCTTCTCAGGGGCTCTGGGGCAGATCCACCAGACGGGGCCGGGGGGTGGACCCGATTTCGGGGGGTCAGGTTTATCTCTGTCTTTGTCTGGCTTTCCATTCTTTCGTCTTCTCTCCCAGTGGTGTCCCCGGGAAGAAATGTGGCACCATCATCCTGTCCGCTGAGGAGCTCAGCAACTGCAGGGTGAGTGGCAGAGGGACTATGCGATGGGATCTGGTGGGGGTGGGGCAGTGACAGAGGGTACGCGGCTTCCTTGTGACCTGGTGTCCCAGCTCCTGAGTCTGAACTGGCTGGAGCTGGAAGGTGATTCCCTTTTACCCCAGCTCAATGTGAGGCCCCGGCGGGGGGGCGGGGACTGGTCAGTGGCAGAAGTGAGCCCCAAGCCCTGGTCCCCAGGCTCCCACACACCAGGGCTACTTCCAGTCCTTGTCATGTGTCCTTGAGCCAAGACTGCCCTGGCACCAGCCCTGGTGATGGAGGGGACTTTTCAGTCCTGGGCGCTTGACATTTGCCTGTCACTTTTCATTTTATCTCCGGGATAGGGTGACAGCCCTCTGTGGGGTTGGAGTTGGAGAGTGTGTGCGCGTGCACGCAAGCGCGCGCGTGCACGTGTGTGTGCGCGTGCACGCAAGCGCGCGCGTGCACGTGTGTGTGTGCGTGCACGCGTGTGTGTGCATGTGTGTGTGAGCATGCGTGTGTGTGTGCATGCGTGTGTGTGTGTGTGTGTGTATGAGCATGCGTGTTGAGAAGCCAGTCTGTAGTCCCAGGCAGCCCTTATTTTGCTTCCCCTATAGAACTAGAGAGAGGCAGGAGGTGGGGACATCGAAGGGGTGGCTGAGCACCCCAAGAAGAGGCTCAGGGATCTGACGGTTAATAGTACTCATAAATATCATAATGATGATAGATATTTGTCAAGTGGTGGGGTTTTTTACATAACTTATATCTCTACTCCTGATAATAATCCTAAGAGGCGGGTACTAAAATGTCATTACTGTTTTATAGATAGGGAAATATCTAAAACATTATTCCCATTTTATCAGAGAGGCTAAGTCACCTTTTTAAGGACCATAAGAAACAGTGTCATGGGTTCTGATCCAGGTCAGCCTGATTCTAAAATCTGGGCTTGTCCTCCAAACCCAGAGGGCCACACAAGTTAACAAGGAACCGCAGGTGGGAAGTGGTGGGTTGTGGGGAGAAGAGGAGGAGGCGAGGACAGGGGCTGGAGGGCCCCTGTCATTCCAAGGCACAGCCTGGGACATCCCCGGTCAGGGCTTCCGTTGGGGCTAGGGGGGCTGAGGAGAATAAGTGAGACTTTCTGACCTCTGGACAGTGTAACTCTCCTATTGGTGCTGGGGATCGAACCCGGGGTGTTCCACCACTGAGCTGCATCCCCAGCCCTTTTTATTTTGAGACAGTGTCTCACTGAGCTGCTGAGGCTGGCCTCAAACTTGTGATCCTTCAGCTTCAGCCTCCCAAATATTACAGATGTGGGCCACGGCACCAGGCAAAACAGAAAAAAAATGTTTTACTTATTATGAATTCATTTAAAAGTAACACATTTTCTGACTGAGCCCAGTGGCACATGCCCATAATCCTAGCAACTTGGAGGCCCAAGGCAGAGGATCACAAGTTCTAGCCTGGGCAATGTAGTGATAACTTGTTTCAAAATAAAAAATAAATAAAAGGACTGAGAAGGTAGCTCAGTGTTAAAACTGGGTTTATTAGCTTAGTTCAATTCCAAGTTTAAAAAAAAAATTCTTCTAAAAAAAAAATAGCTGTATTTTTTGAAACAGACTCTTTGGTGAAAAGAGTGGCCTTGTTTTACCCCACCACATCCCTCCTCTCATTCCAGTGCTGGGGATTTGAACCCAGGCCCTCCTAGATGCTGGCTAGGCAGGTATCTACCATGGAGCTACATTCCACCCCCTTGTTTTACATTTTTTACAAATTTCTTTAATGTCCAGCTTCTTAGAAGACAGATGAAGGAAGCAGGGTGGAGCTCAGTGGTAGAGCACATCCTTAGCACTTGGAGGCCCCAGTTTCCATCCCCAGCACCACACACAAAAATAGACAGCTGGATGCTCATATCCAGTCTGCAGTCAATCTGTTGTGATATCAGTTATGTAACCTCTAGGAAACTCTTTGCTTTGCATTATGACAACAACAGTTTTGACCTCATGGACCCCTCTTCTCCCAGAGTTCCTGGTCTAAATCTTGAGAACTGCTAGAATAGGGGCATAATAGTGTTAGCTGACATTAATTGAGCAATTGTTATTCTGGACCACACACTGTGCTAAGTGGTTGTCTTATTTATCTGATGTATTATAATATATAATGTATGTAGTATGATATATTATAAAATCTGATGTATTATGATCCTCAATTTATAGATGAGGAAACCGCAGCACTGAGAGATTAGGTGACCTGTCCGAGGTTATACAGCCACCGAATTAGAAGATATTTGAACCCAGGCAATCTGGTTCTAGAGCCAAGGTCTTTAACCACTAGCTATTGGGTCACAAACTCTGCTTTCAGTTGGAGACTAAGACATAGGAAAACAGAATTGATGATACAGGGCAGCATAGAGATGACCAAAGAAACTCAAGTGCAGCTGCTCATTCTGGTGCTGCTCTTCTGTTTACCTGGTGGCTCTAGGGGAATCAACCTCACCCACTGTGTACCCGGCACTGGCTGACTGCGCAGTAGGTGTTCATTGAGAAGCTATTATGAATCGTGACTGAATGAATAGGAAGCATAGACCGAGGGTTTAGCAGCAGGTAATGAGGAAAACTCCTACACCTGTGTCCTCTGCGGCGACACGGGCTCCAGCCGGTTGACGCAGCCGGGCTGCCGCCTCTGCGCCCAGAGCCTCGGGTTTCCACCAGCGGGTGGGCCTGACCCGTTGCTGTGAAGGAGATCGGGAAGGTGGCTGCTTGGCAGGTGCCTAGGGAGGTGGACTCTGAACCTCTAGCAACCTCGATTCAGTTTTCCCCTAAGCTTCTGGCCCAGCTGGTGGCTTCCCCCCGGGTTCATAATTAAATAAGGTAATAGACGGGAGAGCGCTGAGGAAACTGTAAAGCTGGAGACGAGGAGGCTGCAGCCGCCGGCTCAGGGCCAGCGCTGGTCAACAGGCTTCTATTGGCACCGGGGCCCCTCCTCCCCCTCCTCCCCCTCCTCCCCTTCCCCCCCTTCCCTCCCTTCTGCATCCAGGGACCACCTGGCTGCGCTCCCCCCGCACTCAAGCTCTTCCCGCGCCAGGGGGTCTGGGGGCGCCTCCCCTGCACTGGAGGCTGCCAGCTCCTTTTCTCCCGGCACATCTTTGGCTGAGTTCTGTCTTTCCCTAGAATATTTGCAAGGAAAAGAGCCTAATTCCCAGCATCTGGCTGAATTAAAATAATTACATCTGAGCCGCTTTGCTCCGTCTTCCCGGCTCAGCATTCAGTGGGAGGATCAAAGGAAGAGGGCGGAGTCGGAGCCGGTGGCCGCCCCAGCAGGGCGTCCTGCCCCGAGCATCCGCAGCCCAAGTGGACCCTCCCTCCCTGCGTCCGCCAGGATGGCGTGGGCGGGCGGGGACCTGCCGGGGATTAGGGTGGGCTCCAGCCTAGCACCAGCTTACTTTGATAGGCATAGAAAAAGCCTAGCTCTTCTGGGATTTAAAGGCCAAGAAAGTTCCTAAAATCGGCATTTGCTCCGAACACTGTTCCGTGGTCCTTAGCGTCGACAGGAGATCGGGCATCCCCACATTTCAGGCTGGGGATGCAGCTCCGTGGGGTGGGGGGGGGCACTTGCCTGGCGCACACCAAGCCCTGGGTTTGATGCCTAGTACTGTGCCCCCGACAAAGAAATTGCCCCAATTTCATCATGCCCAGTGGCAAAACTGTTGGAAAAATACAGAGAATTTTAAAGAATCAAAAAATCACCCAGAGATAATTATTATGGACATTTTGATTTGTTTCTTCCAAGCCTGTTTTTCCTTGAGTGTATGCGTATATTTTTCTTCTAATTGGTATACTATGATATCTAGATTGTGATTTTTATTTTATTATTATTAATTTCTATTTATTTATTATTATTATTTTGTGGTGCTGGAGATTGAAGCCAGGGCCAGCCAGGCAAGCTGTCTCCTCCACAGCCCAGTTGGGCCAGCGCAGTAGAGTAGGCCAAAGAAAGTGCCCGAGACAGCCGAGACACATGTGGTTTCTTGGGGAAAGCCTGCAGGAGATCAGTGACAGTTCCAAGAAGAGTTTAGTGGTGACAGGCTGACTGCACCTCCCTGCCTCACAGTGCTTTGCCAAGCAGCCAAGCTGTACCTCCTTTCCTCCACAATGTTTTGTCCAGTGGGGGCCAGCAGGACGAGTGACACGTATCCTTTCCACAGTGCCCCAGTTCTGCTCTGTCCTGCTCAGAGAGGGTTTTACATGTGAGGCTGCAGAAGCAGTGACCGCGTCAGCCGCAGCGTGCTTGGCTTGCTTGTAGGACCAGCATCCCAAGGAGCACGGAACCTGGCTGCACTCCTGCAAGCTGGCAGCTTTCTCCAGATAACTCTGACTTGCCCTAGTTTTCAGCGAGCCGAAGAGAAAGCCAGGGTCCTCCTGATAATATGTATCTGGATATTGCAGCCCAGACCTGCTCTAGTTGTTCTCTTAACTTGGCTGGGTTTTGGGAGCAGAAAGGGGGCGTTTAGGGAATGATGTTTTACTGCCCCTCTTTGATTTAGGGACTATATACAAGCACTCCACCACTGAGCTGCGTCCCCAGCCCAGTAGCTAGCTTTATAGGCTTCATTTTCCTATGTCATTCGATGGTCTTAGAAGACATGTATTTAATAGCTGCATATAAGCCGGACACAGTGGCACACACCTGAAATCCCAGCTGCTCCAGAGGCTGAGGCAGGAGGATCCTGAGTTCAAAGCCAGCTTCAGCAACTTAGCAAGGCCCTAAGCAACTCAGTGAGACCTTTTCTCTAAATGAAATACAAAAAAGAGCTGGGGATGTGGCTCAGTGGTTAAGTGCCCCTGGGTTCAATCCCCAGGACAAAAAAACTGTGTATTATTCCTTTTTGTATGGAAGGTCTGTCATTTATTGAACCTATTCTCTTACAAGAAACAAAATAAGCAACGCTACAGTGAACATCCTCATGTTCTAATTGAGCTCCAGTTGATGGATAGTTGGTTTAAATTGGT